GGATAAAAAAAGAAGAGAAAGAGAGTCTAGTTCATTATGTAGATGTATATTATTGCTATCTATGGATCAGACTATAAAATACATTCTCGAATCAAATAAATGTATGAAATCTAAAGATACACACATCTAATCTTTAATCTATAATTATTTGATTTTAATTTTTAATATTAAATTTATTGATTATAGTTTTATGCTTATAATTAGTATTAAAGTCATGTTTTGAATTTAAATAACTTAGATCGTAAAAATATAAAAATTTATTTTATATAGATCTGTTTGTGAGTATCATTCACGATATTATCGGTTAGTTGTTTATCTCATTTGCTTAGTCACTTGCTTACTGGTGGTGAAGTTTTCCTTACATAGGTGAAATCACGGAAGGAAACTTGCTGTCAAATCTTGGTTGATGAGCTACGTTGGTAACTTACTGTCGAGGATGACTGTTGAAGGCCACAGCCTACATCGATCATTAGCCTTTTCGTAGGCAGCGATTGCGAAGGCATTGCAACGATAAGGCAGTTGCTGTCAATGGCAGTGATGGCGTCGGGCGAATGGTTGCTGGTCGCATCGCGATAAAGGATTTGTCCAGCACAACAAGTGGCAGTGGTTTGAGGGTTGTGGCCATTGGAGGTGGCCTGTGGCATTAGTTTGGGTGCTCCTACTGGTGGCGACCAAGGGCAACGATGTCGTGTGTCACAGGAGTTGGCAATGAGGATCTCTCCAAAACAGCACCACACAAGTGTTGTGTCCTTGGGCACTAGTCACGACCAACGTTGCCGAGGACTGGGACGTGGCATGGTGCATGCGAGCGGCGGACACCAACACACGGTCGATGTTGCAGACAGCATCGCCGATGATTGCTCGGGTATAGGTGGTGGTGGCGGAGCTGATCATAGCAGGGCATTAGCCTTGATCGGAGATAGCAGAGGCAATGTGCGACGATGGTACGGTGTCGCTCGCACACGGGCATGGTCATCGGACCGATGTGATACTAGGATGCTGACCGTTAAACCGATGGGAAGCCATGCACGACGAAGCTTGCTGTGGAGAGGAGATCTCATATGTGGTAGAAAAACCCGCAATATGGATACACAATTTGACCTAATTTTGTTTTAGTCAAACCCTAATCTTGACTTTCTTTTTTATATAGTCAAGGTTCTAGTTTGAGATGTCAAACTTAATTTTAACTTGGTCAAATATGTTCAAATTGTTTTTCACCTAATTTTGACTTATCTCAATCAAATGTTTGATCGAAAGCTCAATTTTGACCTGATTTGAAATTTTGATCGGATTTTTATTTTGACTCTCATCAAAATATAATATTGATTTAGGACAACCTTAGTTTTGACTTAACTATATTTTGACTAGCCCCCACTCAATTTGACTATTTGATTTATTAGTTATTGGGCCCAATTTTAGGCGGTCCAATTAAATAGGTTTCATAGGCCCATTTGGACCTTTTGTAGAATTATATACACACACACACATATATATATATATATATATATATATATATATATATATATATATATATATATATATATATATATATATATATATATATATAAA